CGCGCGGTATTTGCGGAGGCGGGCCCAGCGCCGAGCTCACCAGCGAGCCGCGCATTGCACTTCCCAGGTGAGAGAATCTATTAATCGCGAGCGAAGCGAGCCCCAGCCAAGCGAAGCGCGGCTGGTAACGACCTCTTTACATTAAATAAAACCTTTCCACAGGAGAGCCGGGTAATCCCCCCCCGGCTGCTCTTACAAATACCAAGTGAAAACAAAGCTTAAGTGTTATCCTGCAAAACAAGGTGTTTTAGATGCGTTGTCGACATTCGGTGGTATGCGCAAGGAGGACAGCAGTAGCCAGTAAAATGATAGAGTAGCGATGCATCGTCAAAGTAAAATCCTGGATCTTCTGGATTCTGGGTCGAATTGCGAAGTGGTTGGAGAGAGGGGCCCAGCAAAACGTATTAATAGTGCGTGTATAAGCACTTGGCGCTTGGCTGTCACCTCCATTTGTCAGTATCTCAAGAGATCAGCTTTGGACAGATGGAAAACAGTAACAGTACTGTATAGAATTGCCCGTGAATACTGTACCGGCAATGTACACGAATTTAGCAAGCCAAAAGTATTGGCGGTACCGCTGCTGGGAAATTGCTTTGTGCACCATATATATTGACAGCTTATATTAATACAGTACTGCACCCCGTTTTGGACCTTTGATAAACTTCCGGATGTGATGATCCCGAATCCAAATAAGCAATCTCTTGTAAGCTTAAATATGATTTATTTGCAAATCCTATATGGTCCACCCCCGCGAAAACGGGGTGCAGTACTGTAATATTTTACCTCGAAGTGATACTTAATTACACACTTTTTAACGAACAGTACAATACCGGAGCCAAGATATGTACTGTTAGGGATTGTTTTGCTTACTGCAAGTGAAGATTACGGGGCACTTGCAGTTACTCATCCAGTACAGTATATTGTACTGGAACTGTAAATATACGGTACAGTGTACGGTGCGAGGAGCACCACAAACCTGGTGGTGTATTTCGTTCCGTACTGCGCTGTGCAAGCAAACATATCGTACTGGCGGAGATTCATGATACCATAAAGTAGGCAGTCACAAAGATGGGAGCACTTATAATGGTAGTTAGGAGTACCGTGAACGCGCTGGCCATGCTCGATCTACGCCATAAAACCGAGCGTCATTCCATCTGCACAGCGTATTGGAAGATGCATGTACTGTACAGTATTTGTCGATTACTAATCACTGGCATGTATTAATAGGCAGTACTAATACATGTTCATGTACAGTACATGTAAATCTTGAAAACTCCCTTTTGTACCGTAAGCCGTGAAGGCTGAGTCAATTTTTTGCCACTTGGCAATTCTCTCGAACCACTGAAAAGCCTACACAGGCCATGCGGCTTTACTCGGGTACGATTCTGTGTGCGATTGCAACTTTACTGATCTCTGTGTCTACCGCCTCCAAAACGACGGGGAGCCATTTATCCACAAGGCTTCCACTACCGATCGACAAACCAGAAAACAACTCGCTACCACGCTTCTTGAGAGTGTCCACGCAGAATACAGAGAATGGCGAGAACAGAGTGATCAGCGCTGGGCTTGAAAAGCTCACAGACCTAGCGAAGGCGGGTGTATCAAAGATCAACTTGGGGTCCTGGATCTCAAAGGACCCACCTGCAGAGCCGATTTTGAGAAGGTTCAAGCTCACGAATGGGATGGACGATGCTCTGGCTAGTCCCAACTTGAAGGCTCTGGAGAACTACGTCAAGGAGCTCAACACGCAGAATAATAACAATAAGGCATCCGTGATTGGGATGTTCATGGCGCACTACGGGGATGACGCCGTTGCGAACGCACTAATGACAGCGCAGAGGGCAGGCGGCGAAATGAACACGATACAGCGGTTGCGGCATGCCCAGCTACTATCGTGGCTGCAAAAGAGAAAATCTGTCGACGATGTCTTCACCTTGCTCAAGCTTCGTAGCGATGGGTATCTAGCTCTCGCGAGTCCGAAGATGGAGGTTTTGGACGACTACATAAAGCTCGTTACTAGCACGAAATCCACGAAAGATTCTTTGCTCAAGACCTTAACGAAGGGGTTTGGTGGAGAAGAGCAACTGGCAACGATTTTGGCTCGAGCGAGAGAGGATGTCAAAACTCGCGAACTGGCGTCGGCGTTGCAGAACGCGTTAATTAACAAGTGGGTTCGAGTGGAATTGTTGCGTCCGAAACACATCTACAAGAAGTTGAGACTGAACCGTGGTTTGGATGCTCTATTGGACCGGAATGTACACACTTTTGGGGCGTTTATCTCCATGTACAACGCAAAGAACCCAAACAGCAAGGCTTCATTGATTGACAGCTTTGTTGCGCAATACGGGAATAAGGCGGTGGCGACGGCGCTCACTTTTGCCAAGCCTGACGATGCTGCGACGATGAATTTGGTGATAACTTTACAGAGGCAACAGTTTCTCAAGTGGAAGGAAGGCGGAATATCCGCGAACAGCGTCTTCAGACTACTGGATATTCACTTCAATGATTTGTTATCTCCCACGAATCCGAAGTTTGATACATTGAGTGGCTACCTCGCGACTCTCAGCAACAAAAATCTCCTGTACAATGAGGGTATGCTTAGGGCCGTTAGCAAAGGCTTTGGTGGTGAGGACGAGCTCGCCATTCAGACAGCAAGGGCTAGGGAGCACTTAATACGAAACGGCTATGCGGACCTCGATGAGATCTCGATTGCTACCGAGTACCAGCGAATGTTGTTTGGGCGATGGTTCAAGCGCGAAACTGAGCCTAGTGACATTTACGGTACAATCTTCCGTTCCAGCGAAAATACAGCTTCCAATTTGGAGCGCGCGACTGCAGCTCGATACAAGGACTACTACAAAGAACATATGGCTCCTCCTCGTATCGACACCTCCATCAATCCTAGACGTTGACCTGTCCGCAGGCTGGAACCGGGTGGAGAAAACCAGATTAATGCAGCTTCACCGACGTAGAAAGCGACCTGAGAATACGACGAAAAGCCGAGCCCATGGCTTCGCTCTACTATCACATTGTGGGAAGTACACGACTGAAAAAAAAAAGTAGAGATAGACCTAAGTTTCACGAAAGCTTGGACAAAGATGAATATTTTTAAATGGACACTTTGCTCACTGTAGTAGTATATTGCATGTCCTGCACAGGTGGAGCTTGCGCAAGACCACAGCTCTGCTATAGGATAGTATCCATCGGTATGTGTTAATCGAAGCACGCACCTGAGGTTTACGCCTTCCCGGCTAAATTCCTTCTACTGTACTTCTTTATTACAGTCCTTAGCGCTATTAATAAGGGCCTGACAACCTTATGAAAACTTTCAGTAAGATATTTCTGGTATCGTCATAAATTATTTTTAGCCCAAAACTACTCAATCCCAGCTAAGCAAAACTGAGAGCCAACCGCTGCTTGGTTAATTGGCAAGTCCTAGGAGGTGCATCCACCTCAGTCCTCCTCATTATCCAATTGCCATGCCTTTGACAACCCCTTCACCAACCAGCAATGTATCTTGGAAGTAGTGGTGTGATATTGCTCTTATCAAAACAATAACGTATTTGTCAATATCAAATGTTTCCCTGCAAGTACTGATTTCACAAAAAAGCAAGAATCTCATTGCAGTTGTATTATCGGAAGGCCTGGTCCAACACTTCAGATGCAACTTCCGATAAAAGTAATTAATCCAAGTTTGGTACTGGGAGTGGGGGTCACCGCCAACTGTTTCATTTAATTGAGAGCAGTCCCAAAACATCGCGCCAAGAAAAAGCCATTCTAGGACAAACTCCATCGTACTTTTGAAGAGCATTTTTGGCCCTGGAAAAAAGCATTTTTAAACGAGTTTTAGCTTTTCAAAAATGCCGTAAATGGTTCTCTTAAATGACTAAGATAATTTAGTCTACATGAATTTTCCGTTATTAGCGATTATTAATACGATTTTAATTATACGTGCCGATTCCCGCAGTGGACAGATTTCGGCTAAATGACCATAGAACGGCCAATCATGGCCACGTTGGAATCTATTAAACAGGTCGAAACCGATAGTGGTTTAAGCTAAAAGCGCTTTGGAGGGGGGGGGGTCTTCTCTGCACGCTATACAATGCATAGTGCCGATAGCAGACTTAAAGAAAGTTAGGTACGAGAAGCATCGGACAGCTTGTTGCCGATCTGTTGTAGGCTTCCTTGTCGCCCAATGTCTCGCACGGGTCCAGAACGCCCTACGTAATGTTATTAGGTTTCGTGGACACGCAGTAGCCGAGATTTAAGGTCTTGGCAGGAAGGTCCCAATTCCCATTCGCTTGTCTACACCTTTGCACGCGCTGGCTTACCACACATTGAACACGCACACCAATAAAGTGCGTCTGCAACGGTAGTTATACATCAGGCGATGAACTCGGTGCCTGGAAGGTGTCACGCTCTACTCCACAAGTCACGTGTATCCGGTAAAATATAATAATATCTACCACAATGAATACTTTTCGGATGCCAATTTTACGTCATAAAAACGTTAACGGGAACTTTCGGACGGAAAACTTGACGTTACACTGTTTACGTCCCCACCACTATGGTTAATACGGGAGGAGCCATCTTTTCTTCGTAGTTATCCTTGTATTGAGCTGCAGTCACCTGGATGCTGAATTTTCGTTGGCACGGAAGATTGCTGCGCCGACAGATTTTGACAGCTGTCGCCTTAAAATACAACATTCTTGATTTCACTAAGGCATTTTAAACCCAAGTAAGAAATCTCAACTAAAAGAAGAGGGGTGTGACGGACACGGTATCCCATAGTCCTGCTACCTTAATTGATCCTGCTCTCAAAAAGTTAAACGTACTCGTTTCAGCCGAACATCCATTGAATATCACACCGACGTGCGCTTTTGTGCGTCGTGTGCAAGCTCCTCCTACGTCCAGCGCTTGAACAGCAGGAAATAGAGACAGGAAGCCGACACCAGGATTCCCAGCCCAAATCCCACCCAAAGACCTTTAACACTAAAACCTTAGTAGAAGCCCAGCAAAGCAGCAAGTGGCGTCCCGAAGATGTAGTAGACCACTGCATTGATAGTAGCACCAACAGTTTGCTTCCCAGCGCCACGAAACACACCTTGCAGCACGGTATTCTGTCCGTCCAGGATCTCAAACGGAGCCCAGACTGCCAGTGCGCTCGCCGCCCATACGATGCTCTCGTGGTCATTGAGAAGAAGACTCGGAAGCGTCCACCGCGTCGCGTACAAGAACGCAATAAACGACAGCGAAATGGCCAGAGTGAGAGTCAGCGACACCGTACACGAAGTCTTCGCTAGCTCAGGCAAATTGGCTCCAAGGCAGTTGCCAACGCGGATGTTGACTGCCACCGCCAGACCAGCAAATATCATGTAAATGATACTGTTAATGCTCACTAGCACCGAATGGGCACTCATGGACACCACAGCGTTAGGCAGCACGCCAGCCATCAACGTCAGCAGCTCGAACGCGACCCACTCCATCGTCATCATCAAGCAGCCAGGAATGCCCAGGCGCATGAAGAGCCCCACGTGTGCTAGCGCTTCCTTGAGGTTCCAGCCACTCCACCACTGATTCAAGTGATCTGGGTGGTAGTAAAAGTATGGAATTAATAGTACTGGCAGAGTAATATTTCCCAGAGATCTCGACAAGGCGGCCATCGAAGCCCATGGGCGTATGATAAGCTAACACATAACCGGTTATGATGTTAACAACGTTGCCGATCGTCGCGATAGTAACCAGCGTCTTCATGATATTCTGCGCCTGCAGAACCTTACGTACAAGTTTGTATAGCACCACGAACGGCATCCCCACCAACATCCACCTCGAGAACGTCTGAGCCAGCTTTGAGATCTCCTCGTCTTGCCCCAAGGACACCACCACGCTCTCCGTGTACCAATTTAGCAGGAAAATAGGTCCAAACACAGCTGCTAGTACCAAAACGCCAGCTTGAAAGTACACGCCGATTTTGTCGAATCGTTTGGCGCCATACGCTTGGGAACAGAGCGTATCTAGCGCCGACGAGAGACTGAAACATATTGAATAATTTGGTAAGGTTCAATAGCTATGCATGTAACAGTTAGCAACATTTTATTAACGAACATCTTAACTGGAGTCGATATTTGTTGAGCTCTTACCATGGTCGAGAGCGTGGCGGCGTCAACGTACTGCTGTGTGTACGGTGAGTCCATGTGTCCCGCCAAGACGATGCACGTGAGTCCTGGCAGGAACTCGAGCGCTGTCGTGCCCACCTGTTAATTAACCGCAGCGAGATAAGCACACTGTTGTTATGACACACATCCAGGGTTCGCAAAATGGGTTTTGGAATTTTTGGGTATTGGGTATATTGAACGACCCACCCACCTATTCTTTTTTTAGGCTGGGTTTTCTGGGTTTATAAAAATAAAGTAAGAGCGAAAGAGCTGCAAGTGCCATGACTGGCTTTACCTGCACTCGATGCGGCCGCGTCTTCGCCAATAGCACAAAGGGATGTGTGACACATCCCTTTGTGTTATTGCGTACGACTGGGTAGACGAGTGCCAGAAGCGTCTGCAGTTCTTCGGTCGCATTAGGTTCCGGCTCTTGAGGCTTGAGCTCGTGGCTATCGGCGATGGCTACGAGACTCTAGTGCTCTGGTTGGAGCAGCAGCGGTCGCGTCTCGCTGGGACTCACGGGCGCCACCATTTTATCCCGACGGCTGTCTATCCCACCTGATGCCGTAAAAGTCGAGCTGAGTGCTTGTTCGCCGTCCACTCAACGAAGTGAAATTTACTCACAGAGTCCATAATCAGGTGAAGAGGTGAAGGGCGTTGTTGTCGTGATAACTTATCACTGATAATAAAGGGTTCCATTAAAATTCGGAGTCATACTTTCCGTCGTTTTCTCCAATGCCATGAGAGTCCTTGCGACTGTGTCGTCCCCGCACCTATCTAGAAGTGGCTTGATCAATGAGACTTGATCGCTTAAGTCCTTGTTACGATTGTACGTAGTGCATTTATTTCAGCTGCGAGCTTTTAGAGAAGCTACCATATCGTCTCCAAGTTGCTCATCTTTCTCCAACGTTTTGGGTGTGATGAGTTCGTCCACCCTTGATGTACCCGCTCGAATCAGATCACTTAGACCGCCTCGTTCCTTCTGTGAGCTCTCATCAGCCTACACCATTTTTCTCAAATTGAAGCAAATACTTGATGCTAGCGGGTGAATCTTCCTCAGTGCAACAGCCGCCCAGACATTCGGGACAAAATTGCAAAAACACCGTTCGAAACGGTGTGCAGCACCCTCAAACGCATAATAGCACCTTCCGGGGAGGGGCGACGCAGCTGTATGGCGCCAACTAAGGCGAGCGGGTGCGAGGTCGCGTAGCCGCAGCAAACCCGCGCGGGGAGCCCGCGAAGCAGGGCCGCGCGGTATTTGCGGAGGCGGGCCCAGCGCCGAGCTCACCAGCGAGCCGCGCATTGCACTTCCCAGGTGAGAGAATCTATTAATCGCGAGCGAAGCGAGCCCCAGCCAAGCGAAGCGCGGCTGGTAACGACCTCTTTACATTAAATAAAACCTTTCCACAGGAGAGCCGGGTAATCCCCCCCCGGCTGCTCTTACAAATACCAAGTGAAAACAAAGCTTAAGTGTTATCCTGCAAAACAAGGTGTTTTAGATGCGTTGTCGACATTCGGTGGTATGCGCAAGGAGGACAGCAGTAGCCAGTAAAATGATAGAGTAGCGATGCATCGTCAAAGTAAAATCCTGGATCTTCTGGATTCTGGGTCGAATTGCGAAGTGGTTGGAGAGAGGGGCCCAGCAAAACGTATTAATAGTGCGTGTATAAGCACTTGGCGCTTGGCTGTCACCTCCATTTGTCAGTATCTCAAGAGATCAGCTTTGGACAGATGGAAAACAGTAACAGTACTGTATAGAATTGCCCGTGAATACTGTACCGGCAATGTACACGAATTTAGCAAGCCAAAAGTATTGGCGGTACCGCTGCTGGGAAATTGCTTTGTGCACCTCGATATATATTGCCAACTTATATTAATACAGTACTGCACCCCGTTTTGGACCTTTGATAAACTTCCGGATGTGATGATCCCGAATCCAAATAAGCAATCTCTTGTAAGCTTAAATATGATTTATTTGCAAATCCTATATGGTCCACCCCCGCGAAAACGGGGTGCAGTACTGTAATATTTTACCTCGAAGTGATACTTAATTACACACTTTTTAACGAAGAACAATGAACAAATTTCACAGTACAATACCGGAGCCAAGATATGTACTGTTAGGGATTGTTTTGCTTACTGCAAGTGAAGATTACGGGGCACTTGCAGTTACTCATCCAGTACAGTATATTGTACTGGAACTGTAAATATACGGTACAGTGTACGGTGCGAGGAGCACCACAAACCTGGTGGTGTATTTCGTTCCGTACTGCGCTGTGCAAGCAAACATATCGTACTGGCGGAGATTCATGATACCATAAAGTAGGCAGTCACAAAGATGGGAGCACTTATAATGGTAGCTAGGAGTACCGTGAACGCGCTGGCCATGCTCGATCTACGCCATAAAACCGAGCGTCATTCCATCTGCACAGCGTATTGGAAGATGCATGTACTGTACAGTATTTGTCGATTACTAATCACTGGCATGTATTAATAGGCAGTACTAATACATGTTCATGTACAGTACATGTAAATCTTGAAAACTCCCTTTTGTACCGTAAGCCGTGAAGGCTGAGTCAATTTTTTGCCACTTGGCAATTCTCTCGAACCACTGAAAAGCCTACACAGGCCATGCGGCTTTACTCGGGTACGATTCTGTGTGCGATTGCAACTTTACTGATCTCTGTGTCTACCGCCTCCAAAACGACGGGGAGCCATTTATCCACAAGGCTTCCACTACCGATCGACAAACCAGAAAACAACTCGCTACCACGCTTCTTGAGAGTGTCCACGCAGAATACAGAGAATGGCGAGAACAGAGTGATCAGCGCTGGGCTTGAAAAGCTCACAGACCTAGCGAAGGCGGGTGTATCAAAGATCAACTTGGGGTCCTGGATCTCAAAGGACCCACCTGCAGAGCCGATTTTGAGAAGGTTCAAGCTCACGAATGGGATGGACGATGCTCTGGCTAGTCCCAACTTGAAGGCTCTGGAGAACTACGTCAAGGAGCTCAACACGCAGAATAATAACAATAAGGCATCCGTGATTGGGATGTTCATGGCGCACTACGGGGATGACGCCGTTGCGAACGCACTAATGACAGCGCAGAGGGCAGGCGGCGAAATGAACACGATACAGCGGTTGCGGCATGCCCAGCTACTATCGTGGCTGCAAAAGAGAAAATCTGTCGACGATGTCTTCACCTTGCTCAAGCTTCGTAGCGATGGGTATCTAGCTCTTGCGAGTCCGAAGATGGAGGTTTTGGACGACTACATAAAGCTCGTTATTAGCACGAAATCCACGAAAGATTCTTTGCTCAAGACCTTAACGAAGGGGTTTGGTGGAGAAGAGCAACTGGCAACGATTTTGGCTCGAGCGAGAGAGGATGTCAAAACTCGCGAACTGGCGTCGGCGTTGCAGAACGCGTTAATTAACAAGTGGGTTCGAGTGGAATTGTTGCGTCCGAAACACATCTACAAGAAGTTGAGACTGAACCGTGGTTTGGATGCTCTATTGGACCGGAATGTACACACTTTTGGGGCGTTTATCTCCATGTACAACGCAAAGAACCCAAACAGCAAGGCTTCATTGATTGACAGCTTTGTTGCGCAATACGGGAATAAGGCGGTGGCGACGGTGCTCACTTTTGCCAAGCCTGACGATGCTGCGACGATGAATTTGGTGATAACTCTACAGAAGCAACAGTTTCTCAAGTGGAAGGAAGGTGGAATATCCGCGAACAGTGTCTTCAGACTACTGGATATTCACTTCAATGATTTGTTATCTCCCACGAATCCGAAGTTTGATACATTGAGTGGCTACCTCACGACTCTCAACAACAAAAATCTCCTGTACAATGAGGGTATGCTTAGGGCCGTTAGCAAAGGCTTTGGTGGTGAGGACGAACTCGCCATCCAGACAACAAGGGCAAGGGAGCACTTAATACGAAACGGCCATGCGGACCTCGATGAGATCTCGATTGCTACCGAGTACCAGCGAATGTTGTTTGGGCGATGGTTCAAGCGCGAAACTGAGCCTAGTGACATTTACGGTACAATCTTCCGTTCCAGCGAAAATACAGCTTCCAATTTGGAGCGCGCGACTGCAGCTCGATACAAGGACTACTACAAAAAAAAGATGGCTCCTCCTCATATTGACACCTCCATCAATCCTAGACGTTGACCTGTCCGCAGGCTGGACGAAACCAGATTAATGCAGCTTCACCGACGTAGAAAGCGACCTGAGAATACGACGAAAAGCCGAGCCCATGGCTTCGCTCTACTATCACATTGTGGGAAGTACACGACCAGGCATTCCGAAATAATCATTGTATTGCTGCTTCAATACAATAGTTTACACTTAATTATTGATTTTTACAAATTGGATGACTTTGTCCAATTAGTTATTTTGTATTTACAGCAAAGTACTTTATTTTTTCGTAAAATCTAGTTTTTTCTGCTTTGTTTTGCGTAAATACGGAGCTCGGTCTCCAGACAGAATCGAATGGCTGTTAGCAACGGTCGCTCAAAACGCGAACCTGAAGCGCTCGTCTATCATTTTTGATCTCACCATGGCTCTCGCCAACACCTTCACGACCAAGCAAGTCTGCAGCTACTTTTTTACTGCCAGCTTGGCGACTTCCAGTCGGCCACCATGAAGCTTCAAGACGAAAACGTAACGCTTCTCGATGTGCGCGATATCTTTGATGCGCTCATCGAGAAGCATTCCGTTGTGAAAAAGTATCTTGCTGCCGACGCAAATACGTGGACTTCGAGCGAGCGTGCGTTGTAGCCCTGTCAGGCGCCGTGGACGAGCTGACGAACGACCAGGAGCTGATGTTGCAGCCATTTGAGACGGTACCTGCAATTACGACACCGGACACCAGGCACGGACGCCCACAGGGCTTTGCCGACAGAGTCTTGGCGACTAGAAAAAAGCGGCGCGGTGCAAAGAAGATATTTGATGGTGTGCTTTTCATCCCGCCGACGTCAAACACCGTGGAGCGGTGGCGAAACATACTCTTTTCCACCATCGCCAGCGTATGCTGCCTATTCACCTTGAAACCGTGTTGTTCCTGAAGATGAATCGGCATTTCTGGGACGCAAACACTGTAGCAGCTATCGTGAACGCAAAGTAATGTGCAGTGTCAAACATCTAAGTAGTTAATTTTCCAATACACTACTATTGATGTCAATTATTTATTTCTTAAGCTGTAGTTTTTGTAGCAATAGCTTATTTTGGCATGGACCTTCAATATGATTGCAATTGTATTATCGGAATGCCTGTACACGACTGAAAAAAAAGGAGAGATAGACCTAAGTTTCACGAAAGCTTGGACAAAGATGAATATTTTTAAATGGACACTTTGCTCACTGTAGTAGTATATTGCATGTCCTGCACAGGTGGAACTTGCGCAAGACCACAGCTCTGCTATAGGATAGTACCCATCGGTATGTGTTAATCGAAGCACGCACCTGAGGTTTACGCCTTCCCGGCTAAATTCCTTCTACTGTACTTCTTTATTACAGTCCTTAGCGCTATTAATAAGGGCCTGACAACCTTATGAAAACTTTCAGTAAGATATTTCTGGTATCGTCATAAATTATTTTTAGCCCAAAACTACTCAATCCCAGCTAAGCAAAACTGAGAGCCAACCGCTGCTTGGTTGATTGGCAAGTCCTAGGAGGTGCATCCACCTCAGTCCTCCTCATTATCCAATTCGCCATGCCTTTGACAACCCCTTCACCAACCAGCAATGTATCTTGGAAGTAGTGGTGTGATATTGCTCTTATCAAAACAATAACGTATTTGTCAATATCAAATGTTTCCCTGCAAGTACTGATTTCACAAAAAAGCAAGAATCTCATTGCAGTTGTATTATCGGAAGGCCTGGTCCAACACTTCAGATGCAACTTCCGATAAAAGTAATTAATCCAAGTTTGGTACTGGGAGTGGGGGTCACCGCCAGCTGTTTCATTTAATTGAGAGCAGTCCCAAAACATCGCGCCAAGAAAAAGCCATTCTAGGACAAACTCCATCGTACTTTTGAAGAGCATTTTTGGCCCTGGAAAAAAGCATTTTTAAACGAGTTTTAGCTTTTCAAAAATGCCGTAAATGGTTCTCTTAAATGACTAAGATAATTTAGTCTACATGAATTTTCCGTTATTAGCGATTATTAATACGATTTTAATTATACGTGCCGATTCCCGCAGTGGACAGATTTCGGCTAAATGACCATAGAACGGCCAATCATGGCCACGTTGGACTATTAAACAGGTCGAAACCGATAGTGGTTTAAGCTAAAAGCGCTTTGGAGGGGGGGGTCTTCTCTGCACGCTATACAATGCATAGTGCCGATAGCAGACTTAAAGAAAGTTAGGTACGAGAAGCATCGGACAGCTTGTTGCCGATCTGTTGTAGGCTTCCTTGTCGCCCAATGTCTCGCACGGGTCCAGAACGCCCTACGTAATGTTATTAGGTTTCGTGGACACGCAGTAGCCGAGATTTAAGGTCTTGGCAGGAAGGTCCCAATTCCCATTCGCGTGTCTACACCTTTGCACGCGCTGGCTTACCACACATTGAACACGCACACCGATAAAGTGCGTCTGCAACGGTAGTTATACATCAGGCGATGAACTCGGTGCCTGGAAGGTATCACGCTCTACTCCACAAGTCACGTGTATCCGGTAAAATATAATAATATCTACCACAATGAATACTTTTCGGATGCCAATTTTACGTCATAAAAACGTTAACGGGAACTTTCGGACGAAAAACTTGACGTTACACTGTTTACGTCCCCACCACTATGGTTAATACGGGAGGAGCCATCTTTTCTTCGTAGTTATCCTTGTATTGAGCTGCAGTCACCTGGATGCTGAATTTTCGTTGGCACGGAAGATTGCTGCGCCGACAGATTTTGACAGCTGTCGCCTTAAAATACAACATTCTTGATTTCACTAAGGCATTTTAAACCCAAGTAAGAAATCTCAACTAAAAGAAGAGGGGTGTGACGGACACGGTATCCCTTAGCCCTGCTACCTTAATTGATCCTGTTCTCAAAAAGTTAAACGCACTCGTTTCAGCCGAACATCCATTGAATATCACACCGACGTGCGCTTTTGTGCGTCGTGTGCAAGTTCCTCCTACGTCCAGCGCTTGAACAGCAGGAAATAGAGACAGGAAGCCGACACCAGGATTCCCAGCCCAAATCCCACCCAAAGACCTTTAACACTAAAACCTTAGTAGAAGCCCAGCAAAGCAGCAAGTGGCGTCCCGAAGATGTAGTAGGCCACTGCATTGATAGTAGCACCAACAGTTTGCTTCCCAGCGCCACGAAACACACCTTGCAGCACGGTATTCTGTCCGTCCAGGATCTCAAATGGAGCCCAGACTGCCAGTGCGCTCGCCGCCCGTACGATGCTCTCGTGGTCATTGAGAAGAAGACTCGGAAGCGTCCACCGCGTCGCGTACAAGAACGCAATAAACGACAGCGAAATGGCCAGAGTGAGAGTCAGCGACACAGTACACGAAGTCTTCGCTAGCTCAGGCAAATTGGCTCCAAGGCAGTTGCCAACGCGGATGTTGACTGCCACCGCCAGACCAGCAAATATCATGTAAATGATACTGTTAATGCTAACTAGCACCGAATGGGCACTCATGGACACCACAGCGTTAGGCAGCACGCCAGCCATCAACGTCAGCAGCTCGAACGCGACCCACTCCATCGTCATCATCAAGCAGCCAGGAATTCCCAGGCGCATGAAGAGCCCCACGTGTGCTAGCGCTTCCTTGAGGTTCCAGCCACTCCACCACTGATTTAAGTGATTTGGGTGGTAGTAAAAGTAAGGAATTAGTAGTACTGGCAGAGTAATATTTCCCAGAGATCTCGACCAGGCGATGCCCTCGAAGCCCATGGGCGTGTGATAATGTCACGAAGTTGTGGAGACGCACTTGTTTTTGCTTGAGTTGTAGTCGTAGGAACTTGACTTGAGTTGTAGCAGGAAAAAATGAGACTGAATTGAGTGTTTAAGCAAAGAGAAGGAAAGCATCTGCCCTGTAGCTAAACCTCAACTATGAATGCAACTTCAAGCACATCATGAACACGATCTACGTCTGGTTGAACAGTAGAGCGAAACGGGGAGTGAAGGCTTGGAAAAAAGGTTGTGTAAGCAGATGCTGGAGTCAGGAGGGGGCATCATCATGACAGTCTCTCCTCCGAAACAAGTCAGGGGTCACCAGAGCGCAATCTACGCGAAGTTGACTGTTGATCTTGTAGAAAATTGGCGATAAGCCCGCTTGCTTGTGTCAACTCGGACTCCGGCTCCCAGCTATCCTTGTTGTCACGACCGTACCAACGGACTTTGTACTGAATAATGCCTTTGAGCACGCGACGATCTAGGATACGCTGCACCTGAAATCCCTCGTGACCCTCACGGGTAAGTAGTCGGGGAACATCGTTCAGCCGTCGTGGGTTGGCGTCGAGCTCGTACGGTCGGAGATAAGAAATGTGGAACTCATTGTGCAGCTTGAGCCCGGGTGGGAGCTGAACCTGGTAGGTATCCGGTGTGGTAAGCTTCAACACGGAATATGGGCCGATGTATCGTGGAGCGAGTTTACGCTTGCCGGAAACGCCAAGATGATGCAAGTCAAGGGGAGTAGTATCAAGAAGAACTTGATCACCGGGAGCAAACTTGTAGTCGGGACGATTGCGGTCATGAAAATAATTCATTGAGGCCTGAGCCTGCTCAAGTGAGTCCTTGCACTGTTGCTAAACAACTTGTTGGTGCTGTACAAATTGCAGAGCTGCTCGTGAACGCCCCGCAGATGAAGGAATGGCCAAATCGGCGACGGAGCGAGGGTTGTACCCGATATCGGCCACAAAAGGCGACATGCCCGTGCTGGAATGGACACGTGCATTGTACGCAAATTCGGCCAACGAAAGTAAGTCGTCCCAGTTGTCGTGTCGAGGATCCACAAATGCGCGCAGGTAGTCCGAAACAAAATGGTTGGTTTTTTCAGTCTGTCCGTCGGTCTCAGGGCGAAAGGCCGAGCTCAAGCGCAACTGGGTCTGCTGAAACCCCATGAGTTGAGACCAGAATTTGGATGTGAGCTTTGTATCACGGTCGGAGACAATGCTGACCGGTAATCCGTGGTGTTTCTGGTAGCTGTCACGAAAAAGTTGGGCTGCTTGCTGGGCCGTACAGGTAGTAGTAGTAGGAATGAAGTGGGCTCGCTTCGTGAGTCGGTCTACGATGACCATGACAGCATCACACTTCGAGCGACGGGCTTTAGGAAGGCCGGTAACAAAATCCATAGAAATATCTGACCACCGATTGCGAGGAATTTGCAGCGGATGGAGCAATCCCGCTGGCCTGCGATGAGAAGCTTTTACTCGTTGGCACATTTCACAAGAACGAACGTAGCGTTTGACACTCCGCTCCATGTGTGGTCAATAGAACTGCTCTTGGACAGCTAACAAAGTCTTCAAACAGCCAGGGTGTCCACTAGTAGCCGCGCTGTGCTTCTCAAATAGAATACTGTTTCTCAGGTCAGTATCGCTCGGTACACATACTCGCCGCGCGGAGTCAAGATCGGGCTGGAAATACAGGACTTTGTCTTCAACGAAAAAGTGTCGGTGTTGGCTCGAAGCGTTCGATTCAGCTGGACTGGCGGTGACTCCATTGTGTTCGTACTGCAGTTGAGACACTTGTACAGGTCGCCAAATACTTCATATTCGCTGTACAAATTGACACATTGCTGAAGAATAGTAGGCCGACCCCGCATGTATCGAAGCTGGACCTCCTCGATATCGAGATTTGCTTGAGTAGCTGTCAGCTGCCTCAGTAAATCTGCTAGGGACACGAAGTGAGCTGACTCTGCGGGATGGAAGGATGGATTACAAGAAACCATGTCAGCGATCCCATTTGTATCTCCAGGGATCCAGCGAAAAATAGGCCGATACATCCCGAGCTCGTTCAGCCAACGTGCGAGCCTTTGAGAACACGTTTTCTGCTCCAAGATACTCTGCAATGTTTTGTGGTCCGTATTGATGTAAAATGGTCGGTCCAGGAGATAAACCCGCCAGGTCCTCATGGCATGTAGTGCAGCCAAGAGCTCCTTTTCTCGGGTGGGATACATCAGTTCTGCCGACGTCATTTTTCGTCCGCCAAATGCGATAATGTGTTCGTTGCCCTCACTGTCGACTTGAAACAGATAGCCACCTACCGCAAAGTCACTGGCGTCCATACGCACGTGGAAGTCGCGAGAAAAATCGGGATGTGCTAGTACTGGTGGTAAAGTCAAAACGGATTTCAGCTTGTGGAAGCACTCGAGCTGGTCTGGAGAGAATGTAACCTTCTCGTGGGCAGATTTACCTCGGGTTGCGTCAGTGAGTGGAGCTGCCAATTCTGCGAAATTCTTGCAGAACTTCGAGACGTACACACATGTACCAAGGAAGGACTGAACCTGCTTCTTCGTACTAGGAACAGGCCATTCGCGAATGATGCGAACTTTGTCAGGGTCCATTCGAACACCGTTACGCCCGAAAAAATCACCCAAGCAGGGGATCTCCGCAGAGCAAAACGTACACTTGGCCAGCTTCACGTAAAGTTCCTCCTCGGCGCAGCGTTCTAGCACCCTATCCAGTGCATCCAGGTGCTCGGCGATGTCGACGTTCTTCGTAAAAACGAACAAGTCATCAAAATAGGCACGGCAGAACTTGGACTGGTCGCTGAAGATAGTCTGCATAAGCCGGTTGAACGCAGCTGGGCTGCTTGCCAGCCCCATCGGTGTCACTAAGTACTCAAACAGTCCATCAGGCGTTGAAAATGCCGTGTATGGGATGTCCTTTTCCCGAAGTCTGACTTGAAAAAATCCCCATAGCAAATCCATTGCCGAGAACCAGTGTGAGCCCGCCATCGCGTCGTAAATATCCTCCTTTCGTGGCACAGAAATCGCTGGAATGCGCAGCCTAGCATTAATCGCACGAAAATCATGCACAATTCTCCAGCCAACGGCCTTGCGCACGCAAAACGTCGGGGATGAGAACGCCGACGTTGAAGGGCGAATGATACCAGCCTTGAGCACTTCATCAGTCCATTCACGTATGGCTGCCTTCATGTCGTTACTAAGTCGAAATTGTTTACGAACGATGGGGTTGTCGTCCACCAGTTCGATCTCGGCCTCGATATCCGTTGAGCGGGTGGGGGGAACACTTGGGAGCTGACAGCGAAACACTTTATCCTTGTACTTGAGTAGTACAGACTCCGCGACGTTCCCTTTAAGATTGTCCCAGTCGCTGGAAGCCTGTCGTTTAGCCTTATCGGACGGCTGCTCCAGCTGAACCATAAAGCAGAAATCACCCTTAGCGCTCTTCATCTTCCGGAATTGCTTAGCACTGATCACCTTTGTCTCGCCATGCTTTGCCTCATAAGCGTGAGCTACGTAGTAACGTAGCGTGTCCTCGTGATTAGAACGTCCAACCGATCGATGTCCCATTCCACGTCGCCTGCCACCAATATGGCAAGCTGGGGTGGCTCGCACGCACTGCGTGAACGAGAGCGCCGCTGTAGTTCCACGACAACTGACCGCCCGCGACTTCCAATCAATGTCGGGATTAACTTCTACAAGCCATGGCATACCTAGTAGGACGTGTTTACCTTCCGGAATCTCCATCACGAAAGCGTCCGTTGTGTACGGAGCAAATCCATCCTTTTCCAACGTAAAATTTACAGTTTTCCGAGGAATCGCGATCCGCTGGTTGTTGCCGATAGCTATACGGAGAGGCTTTTTGTGTGAAGTCACCTTAAGACCCAAGCGATGTGCCACTTGCGGTGCTATCGCATTGAAAGAAGCACCGTTGTCGATGAACATCTCAACCGAAGCGTTTAGAATGCGCCCCAATTGAGTCAAGTAGCAGTATAGATTTGTCGAACGCGACTTGCCATCATCTGAGTGATAACAAAGTCGCTTCGACGGGGCCACCGTAGCGAAAGTACTGCCATCTTTGACTACCGTTGTAGGCTCAGTGGGTTGCCACCCCACCGAGCCGTCTAGTTTTTTTGTTGATTGGCCCGCTCGTCCGCCTTGAGCTTGCGGCAGACGGCGCGTGTGTGACCAGGCTTGGCGCAATACTCACACACTCGGCCGGAGGCGTTTGTGGACGCCTGCTTTGTTTCTCTAGAGGAACTTGCAGTAGCAGGTGGCTTCGTGCTGTTTCCTTGGCCACCAGTGGCACTTGCTGTTTTGGCCTCGTTCTTTCGGTTGTTGAGGCCTGCCGTTGCGGTTTTGGCCGGGCGGGAGTCAGCGTAGCGGTGAGCGAGTTCGATAACGTCCTGCAGCGTCTTCGGCACATGTTGAGAGATGGAGCTGCTGACGTCTTCTGGTAAGTGCTGTTGGTAGTACCAACGTTTGACGAATTCAGGAACGTCTTGGTCTAACTGCGAGAGTAAGTGTAGGAATCGCGTCGTGTACTCTTGCTGGGACCCTGTGCGTCGAAGCTGGTGCAACTTTGACAGCACCTTGTGCTCGAAGTCGCTGTCGCGAAACCTCTCACGAATTTTGGCCTTAAAAATGGCCCATGTTGCTGGCTGGTTTCCGAGTGACATCTTAAAGTCGCGGAACCAGGTTTTAGCCGTGGGGCCAAGGTTGGCAAATATCATGTCCACGAACACGGACGTGTTGCCCTCCATGTCCGATTGGCAATCGGCATAGTACTGCTCAGTACTGAAGATCCATAATTCTAGGTCATCAGTTGTCTGCCCGTTGAATGATGGAGGAGTGCCCTTCTTCTTCTGCGAACGCTGCATTAGCACTTGCTGCTGTAGCATTTGCTGCTGCGTCTGCGTTTGCCGCGCGATAACTTGGGTTAGAAACTGCTGTTGCTGCTGCGTGCTCGTCAAGAAGGCCTGGAACATTTGCTGCAGCATGGCAACGCCATCCGGCGAACCGGTTGCTTGTTGAGTAGCTGGTGCCGCTTGCGTCCCAGTTGAGCTGGCATCTTGAGATGGAGCCGCTTCGATCGGTGCACTTGCGGTGGCCGTTGCGTCCTCATCTCGCATCCGACGACGTTGTTGCCGGGGTCTTGGGTTGGGGCTCCGATTGCGCATAACCATGCTTTCGAAGTCGCCTAGAATCGCTTCAATAGTTTTAAAACTGTCACGAAGTTGTGGAGACGCACTTGTTTCCGCTTGAGTTGTAGTCGTAGGAACTTGACTTGAGTTGTAGCAGGAAAAAATAAGAATGAATTGAGTGTTTAAGCAAAGAGAAGGAAAGCATCTGCCCTGTAGCTAAACCTCAACTATGAATGCAACTTCAAGCACATCATGTACACGATCTACGTCTGGTTGAACAGTAGAGCGAAACGGGGAGTGAAGGCTTGGAAAAAAGGTTGTGTAAGCAGATGCTGGAGTCAGGAGGGGGCATCATCATGACAGATAAGCTAACACATAATCGGTTATGATGTTAGCAGCCGATCGTCGCGATAGTAACCAGCGGCTTCATGATATTCTGCGCCTGCAGAACCTTACGTACAAGTTCGTATAGCACCACGAACGGCATCCCCAGCAGTATCCACCTCGAGAATGTCTGAGCCAGCTTCGAGATCTCCTCGTCTTGCCCCAAGGACACCATCACGCTCTCCGTGTACCAATTTAGCAGGAAAATAGGTCCAAACACAGCTGCTAGTACCAAAACGCCAGCTTGGAAGTACACGCCGATCTTGTCGTATCGTTTGGTGCCATACGCTTGGGAACACAAAAAAAGCGTATCCAGTGCCGACGAGAGACCGAAACATATTGAATAATTGGTAAGGTTCAATAGCTATGCATGTAACAGTTAGCAACATTTTATTAACGAGCATCTTAACTGGAGTCGATATTTGTTGAGTTCTTACCATGGTCGAGAGCGTGGCGGCGTCAACGTACTGCTGTGTGTACGGCGAGTCCATGTGTCCCGCCAAGACGATGCACGTGAGTCCTGGCAGGAACTCGAGCGCTGTCGTGCCCACCTGTTAATTAACCGCAGCGAGATAAGCACACTGTTGTTATGACACACATCCAGGGTTCGCAAAATGGGTTTTGGAATTTTTGGGTATTGGGTATATTGAACGACCCACCCACCTATTCTTTTTTTAGGCTGGGTTTTCTGGGTTTATAAAAATAAAGTAAGAGCGAAAGAGCTGCAAGTGCCATGACTGGCTTTACCTGCACTCGATGCGGCCGCGTCTTCGCCAATAACACAAAGGGATGTGTGACACATCCCTTTGTGTTATTGCGTACGACTGGGTAGACGAGTGCCAGAAGCGTCTGCAGTTCTTCGGTCGCATTAGGTTCCGGCTCTTGGCTTGAGCTCGTGGCTATCGGCGATGGCTACGAGACTCTAGTGCTCTGGTTGGAGCAGCAGCGGTCGCGTCTCGCTGGGACTCACGGGCGCCACCATTTTATCCCGACGGCTGTCTATCCCACCTGATGCCGTAAAAGTCGAGCTGAGTGCTTGTTCGCCGTCCACTCAACGAAGTGAAATTTATTCACAGAGTCCATAATCAGGTGAAGCGATGTCGTACGTGATAAGAGAGGGCTATTTTTTTAAGGGCTCCATTAAAAAGAGGGATCTGTAATCACAAACGCCGAAAAAATCAGAGCATTTACTTCACGAGTTTTGGTCGTTTATTTTTTAGAAAAAGGTTATTTCTAAAAAAAGTAGTACAGTACTGCACCCCGTTTTCGCTGGGGTGGATCATATAGGATTTGTAAATAATTTAGATTTTGAGCCAACAAGTAATAGTTCTTTTGCATTCAGGATCATCATATCCGGAGGTTTATCAAAGGTCCAAGGCGCGAAAACGGGGGGCAGCACTGTAAGCGATTACTATTAATACGAAGTAGGTTTTAGTATTGCGCGTGATTCCACCTTTTGTATTCTAAGTTTGTCGCTCTATTCGTGGTCTAGTTAATTATTCGGCGGTGCGCTTCTGGGCGTCTTCAGCGAGTTCTACCCACGTCCAGCTCTCGAACAGCATATAGAACTGCAGCGAGGCCGCCACAAAGATACCGAAGCCAAAGCCCAGCCATAATCCTTCGATGCCCAAGAAGAAATGAAAGCCCAGTACTCCAGCTACCGGTATACCGAACACGTAGTAGGCCACTGCATTCACCGTCGCAGCCACTTTCTGCTTGCCCACACCGCGGAAAATGCCTTGCACGACAGCATTGAGGCCGTCCAGCACTTCGAGCGGGGCCCAGACTGCCAGCACACTAGCAGCGCGAGCGATCCCTTGAGCGTCGTTCAGAAACAAGCGTGGGATCTCGTGACGTAGCACGTACAACAGCAACGCGAACGTGGACGAAATGGCCAACGTTAGTGTCAACGACACGGTGCAAGCAAGTCTCGCCTGCTTGGGGGCATTGGCGCCGAGACAGTTGCCCACGCGAATGTTCGAGGCCACTGCGAGACCGGCAAACGTCATGTAGATGGTGTTGTTGATGTTGACTAGCACGGCGTGGGCGCTGACAGACACCACGGCACTCGGCAGCACGCCAGCCATCAGCGTGAGCAGCTCAAACGCCCACCACTCCATCGTCATCATCAAGCAGCCGGGGACGCCCAGACGCAAGAACAACGCCACGTGTGCCAGCGCTTCCTTGAGATCCCAGCCACGCCACCATTGGCTCAAATGGTGTGGATGGAAGTAGAAATACGGGACCAATAGAAACGGTAGCACCATGTTCCCTAGTGATCTCGATAGAGCGATGCCCTCAAAGCCCAGCGACGTGTGGTACGTTAGCCAGTAGCCTGATACGATGTTGACGACGTTGCCGATCGCCGCGATAGCCACCAATGGCTTCATGATGTTCTGAGCTTGCAGCACCTTCCGCACCAACTCGTAGAGGAAAACGAACGGCACGCCAGGCAGCATCCAACGTGAGAAACTTTGAGCTAGTCGAGAGACTTCTGCGTCTTGGCCCATGAAGAGTAAAAAGCTCTCGGAGTACCAGTTGACGAGAAAAATCGGGCCGAGGCAGGCACCGATTATCTGTAGACCAGCTTGGAAGTAGATCCCGATCTTCCCGAACCGTTTAGCACCGTATGCTTGAGAGCAGAGCGTGTCTAGAGCTGATGTGAGCCCAAAGCCGATGGAGTACGCTGTGATGTTCATGAACTGCAGGAGTTTTAACATAACCAGTTAGTAACCCCATCGGTTAGTATCTTGACGTTAAAGCTCACCATCGTCGACAGAGTGGCAGCGTCCACGTATTGCTGCGTATGAGGCGACTGGATGTGGCCTGCTAGTATAATACACGTAAAACCTGGTAAAAACTCGAGCGCTGTGGTCACAACCTGCAGGATCTCCGTTAGTAAATAAAACATGTTATTGTATCAGTTCATTGCCACTACGAGATAGTTGACATTCTCTCGCAGACTTACGACTGGGTACACAAGTCTGAGCAGTGTCTTGAGCTCCTCGACGACATGAGGCTCAGCTTCGTCTGCGATCTCAAGACTGCCAGGGATCCCCACGACAGCATCCTTGTAGGCCAGCAGCGGCTGGTGTTCACCGCCATATCTTGCGAAGGTTGGGCTGCGCGGCTCGAATGCCATGGGATAAATGTACAGCCAGAATGTTGGAGCAAAGTCCGTTGTCGCAATGTCGTAGCACCAGTCAAGTTCGTTACATCGACGGTTGAACGCATGAGTGATGGTATTTTATGTGTTCTACACTGAATTGAAGTGGCGAATCAAATAGAAGCCCCCCCATAAAAAGCACTTTAAGAGCATTTAATAACGTTTAAGTAGCTTACGCCCCAGCCGTAAATTAATTTTTTTATTTGTTTAAAAAGGGACCAGAAGATTGCTGCACTGTTGCGACAACGCTGCTCAAAAAAGCCATAAAGGCAAAAATATGTCATTATGCTATCCTATGCCTGGTGTCCTACCACGTCCTTAAGGACATAGTGACAGCTTCAAAGGTATATCTAATGACATAACACGGCATTCCTTTGTCAAAGGGCACCCCCGTTACCATTGTGTTAAAAACATGTACATTGATTTGAAAAACACATCAACTTCAAAGTGCATAATACGATCAATTTAAGGGTTCAGAGCGAAAACTTAAGCCCGCAGTCATCGCCTACTTCCTCAGCAATATGCAGATGCTCCAGCTTATCGACTAGCCCCGCAATGGCTGCTTCTTTAAGCACAGGGTGTACCACCAGTAACTCACGGGTGTCAGTCGGTATTGCGAGCTTCCTAAATCCACTAGTTAGTGTAGCAGGCGAGAGTCTGTCCCAAGCATTTGTTAGCCACTCCATCAGAGTTGCACGCGATGGCGCATCCAGCTTAAACTTTACCCGCGATCCACTATCCTGATGAGCACGAAGCAGACTCTGCAGATGATCCACCCAAAGCGACCGCAACTCCAGCTTGAACGGCTTCATCCAGGCGATATCTGCCGGTTGGCACGACGACGTGTAGCCGGGCGAAACTCTCTTCAGCACCACGTCGATACTCACTGCATACTACTTGACGGCTTGTGTCCAATGACCACTGAAGTCGTCCCATAGCAGCAGGACCTCTTCCCCAAAGTATCCCTTGAGCCGAAATGATAACGCAAAAACTGAATAGACAATTCAGCATTGCACCACCCTTTCGGGTTACAGTAGATCTTGACGTCGTGCTTCGGCATGAGGGGCATTATATCCGGCCATAAACCTCTCCCAAAGCCATTTTGATGCTTGCGGTTGAAGGCATCCGTCTCGGGAACTCTGGAGGATGGCTGCTTGAAGACAGCGAACGGGGCGCGATGGTTTCCATGCATGTCAGCCAGCAGCATGACCGTTATGCGCTTCTTTTCAGCACCAGCATTGTGAATCCAAACCGTACGAGTCCCTTTGGCATCATAAGTACGCGTCGAAGGTACTCATAATTCATCGCAGTTTGGTCGGCATTGTACACCTCGACAATGCCTTCCTCCTCTATCGTTTTTAGGACCTCCATCCTAAATTTCTGCGCCACCTGAGCTGAGTCCGCGGGTGTTACTTGGCCGATACGCGTCTTGCGCCTAAGCGAGAGTCGTTACCTCTTGAGAAAGCGCCTTTCCCAGCTTTCGGGGGCTGAAAACAACCCCACAGGAAGCCCAGCGTCTTCGGCAACCTCCTGGGCCTTGCAGGTCTGCATGAAAGGAGAGACTGGAACGCCTTCGCGGCGAAGATCACGAACCCAGTGTGCAATCTGGTCTTCATCCTTCTCGGAGAGGACCCAGCGCAGCGATTTTTCTTTAGGTGGCCGCCACCGCTTGCTACAGCGCCCAAAATCAATTCATTCTTTGAAACCCATTTATATATTTGCCGTTTTGTTGTCTCCTTCTGCGCTTAGCGAGGCCTGGATAGAACTTCTCCACTGTGGGTGGGATTGATAAAACTGGATTATATGTGCCTTCTTCACGTTGTCCACAGCAACACGAACAAACTTCCTTGGCTTCCTAAGGACGCCCTTGATGTTTATTCGTCCCGATGGTAGTGCCTTCGGCGCCATTCTGGCAATGGCTGGCAGCGACCCGAAGAGCCAGCTTATCACATTTCTGCACATGCGCCCTTTGACAAAGAATTATCCGTTTCTCTATATCCTGCAGTGTGATGCTCTATCTCCGGATCTGCCAGGTACAAAGGATGTCGGTACTTTTGTCCTATTTGGAAGGACAAAAACCGGCAACTAATAGCATTATTTCTTTGTAATAAATGGCATCGAACATTTTTTACCCAAAATCTTCCCTTACAAATCAAAATTCCTTTTTTTGTCCTACCGCTGGCGTGCTAGAACAGAAAATCGTAGTGTATGCCTAATCACTAGGGCAAATCTCCCTGGGGTTATGAGTACCATCGATTAAATTTGCTTCTGTCCCTAGGCGAATTCGCATTACACAATAGGGTTGTGGTGGCCGTAAGGTGAAATCAATTTTTTAGTGATGGCGAGCAATTTAAGACCGAAGACACTCCGCCCAGCGTCTACGCAAGTGAGACTTGAACGGGTGATTACACGCACGTTGGCGGGTTGACACACGTAGGTATATCGAGGTAGTACTTTGAATAGGACAATATTAATGGATGCTGCGAAATCGATGACTTTTCTTGGGTCCGATAATCCGAAAAGTCGTCTCACAAGAGAAGAACCTTATCATTCATGTAGTCTCTGTGACCAAATAATGATCCAGAAGCTTTAGGGAAATTTCAGCATTTCGCCACTCCGAATGAGGTCATAATCCTGCAATTGTGCTCGTCTTGGAGAAGAAAAATGTCTTTCCACAAATGCACGCCAATCCACTTATCTTCGCGTCGTTCTCGCCCTGTGTATTTTGGTGACGAGAGAGACCAGCTGTGAAGACAAAAAATACGGCATCTTGTTGCCATGCTGTCTGCTAGAAGCCTTGCCGTCATTTGCTCTTATCTTTACTGCTGCACTTCATCCATACTGTTTTTGCACCTCTCGTTGTGATGGTCTTGCAAACCATACCAGAGGACACAGCGTCAGCAAAGGCCAAGTTTCGAGGTGATGTCAGAGCAGCTATCGTCGAGAACATTATCTGCAACGTCTTTATCGCGGATCAGACAGGTATGTACTCATCACTCGTGAGCTGAACCGCTCTACTCTGACATGACTGTATTCATAGCCGTCTTGTTCAAGTATCTACCGCCCTTGGCGAGTCCGTGCACGTATCGACAGCTATGTCGGCGCATAAAGCGCCGTCTCCAAGGGTATGACGCGCTGAAGACGTCAGGTGAGATCCCTTCGTCTGCTGCTGTTTCGAGTGTCTTTAGCTCCAGCAAATTTATTGCTGATATTAGACAGCCTTCCTTTCTCATAGGGTTCATCCACAGCACGATGTCCTCTTCTGCTTCAGTGGAGAGGATGGTTGCCGCGTCAACCCTACGGTAGTTCTCGAGGTGCCCTTTGTCTTCTTCGGAGTCCGCCTTAATGAAGCCTGCCTGCTTCTTCCGTTTTTATAATAGTTTTTTTTCTTATTTCAGCGTCGGTGATGTTAGGGTGGAACTCTGTGATAACCTGGTCGAGCTTGGGCCCCTGTGCAAGACGCTCGAGGACTTCAAGTTTGTGCTTGTAGTCGGCTGAAATACGTGTATTTGTCATGTTCTTCCTGCCTGTTTCAGTGGTTCGAGGTCGGGTCATTGCCTGACAATTTGTATAGTGAAGACGGCATTCTTCCACCAGTCGGTCTTACCCTTTGCAGCAAGTTAGCTTGCAAGCTTGATACAAATATTTTGCTGCTATTGGCTATTGGCTATAATCAAAATTTGCTTAGGAAACTGGTTTGCTTAGAACTGGAGCAATACGGTGCTGTATTTGCCCAAATGAACGAATGGCGTTCCCGTAACGTTATATTTTTGGCTCTTTCCTGCTCTAATCGCAGCGTTAATGAAGTAAAAGCTTATTCGGCTTAACTTAAGGCTTGGTAGCTAAAGGGCTAACCCTATGTATTAAATGGGTTAAAAGGGAGATAATGGGTTAAAAGTGAATAGGTTAAAAGGATTAATTTGGGTCCGGTGACCAGAATCAATACAAATCGTCATATGTTGCGCTCATAACTTGCAAACATTTGCTGAACTGCAATACCGTAGAGGTCTGCGTAGACCCCTACCATATTAAGTCAGCCTCTGCAAATCATTTACATCTATTATAACCAATTGAGTCGAAGTATTTTCCGGTAAGAGGCCTCTTCGGGCAGCAAAATCTGTCAAAGCGTAATATTTTAGCCCTTAGCCGAAATCGTTAATGCAACTTAAGAAAACAAGCTGCGCAACTTATCTTCCGGTAAATTACCGATAAAATCGTTAATCGAGCCACGGACCGCCGAGCCGTCCGTACTGCGCTGCAATGGATTTCCCCTCATTCAGAATTTTTCGATCTTCGTAAAACCCTTTAGTGCAGCTGGTAAAATGACGCAAGCAAACAAGAAGCGAAGAATCGGCTTGGAAGCGCCGAAGAAGCAGGCAATGACTCGAAGGACAGGCAATAAAGAGGAACGTGGAGTGGAGGTGACCCAGGTGTCGGTCGATGAGCCGGAGACTTTTGGTACGTGGCAAAACATCTCGGTGCAATACCGCGGCTTACGCTAACAGTAAAAGGTATTATTTATTATCACAGACCCTCCTTTTGTCGCGGTAGCGGTCGTGAGAGTCGTTTGTTCGATTCTGGAACACGTTTGAGCGGGAGAATCGGGTCGTCTATCGAACTCGCGAAGCTACTTTGCGATCGTACATTCACTATCAGTAACACAAATATGTGACTATATTTCGTTCAGCAAATTCGTGCGAATCCTATTTAAATACTACGCTGTGGCCAAGGCCGTGGAAGTGTGGCGAAGCGCATTCTCAGAAATGAAAGATGGGATCTGACGAGGAGTCATTATCACGGATTAGTGACAGCAACCGGTGGATAGAGTGGATCTGGACTGCTCGAAGTGGATCCGTACTGCACGAATTAGATTTGATCAATATGAAGTGGATCAAAGGTCGAGACTACTACAATGAATCTATGGATGACGTTGGTGACGTGGAAAGGTACCGTTGATGAGCAATCCAAGTACCTAG